CAACTTGAGTGACACAGTGAGATTCTGTCTCAAAACAAAGAAAGAAAAAGAGAAAGAGGAAGAGGAGGAGAAGGAGGAGAGGGAGGGAAGGAAGGAGAGAGGAAGGATGGAAGGAAAAGAAAGACATGGAATCAGAGATGGGGCAGTGTACCACAGTATAAGAGATGCCTGGAGCCCAGACTGTGGGAAAGGCAGACAGGAACCTTCCAGAGCCTCCAAGGGGTTGGGAGAGCCCATCTGTGTCATATGTGGGACTTGAAGCTGTAGTCTCAGAACTGGGCCGTGAAGTTTGCATCCATGCGCCCATCAGCGGTGCGTGCTCTGCAGAGCACAGGACCACAGGGATCCAGGTCACCTCCCATAAGCACGTTGGATGGGGGCACTGGGCCCAGTGCAGCCTGGTGGGGGAGGGGACCCTCTGCCCAGTCCTGGTTCCCAGCCCAGCACACCAACCTCTAGCACTGGTGGAGTCAGCAGGATGCGGAGGGCCGGCGGGGGCAGCAGAGAGTCCTGCTTTCCCAGCATCCTCAGTGGCGTGGCTTTAGATGATTTGTGACTGTCACTGTGGGTGCAATAGGCTACAGTGGACCATGGCCACCTTGGCCATCCCAGGTCCTGCCAGAGCCTATGTGGCCAGTGTGGCCATGCCTGACACACACAGGGCAGGCAGTGGCCTCGGTCCATGTGTTTGGGGGCATGGCTGGCTCATTCACTAGACACCAACACACTGGTCACCCACCATGCCAGCCTGGGTCCAGGCCTCGACTGGTTCTGAACAGGTGGCGGCCCTGCCACACACTCCCACTAGGGGCGACACATACCCAATGGACAGTAGGCCTGAGCTTGCCCACCTGTCTCTTTCCAGAAGCATGGGGGACAGCTCAAACGGGGTGCCTCCTGGAAGGTCCTTCCTGTCCTCTGGCTGGTCTTGGCTGGAGTCCTCAGGCGGTGAGGGAGATAAATTCAGAATGGAGCCATCCTGGGAGCAGGCAGGAGTGGAGTGAGGCAGGCAGGGCCATCAAGCAGGGGCTGTCCAGAGGGTCCTGGCCACCAGCACTCAAAGGAAGCCGGGCAGTGATGGGTGCCAGCCCTGGACTCCTCACTTGTGCCCCACCTAGTGATACAGGGACGTGGATCCCCAGGGCTGCCTTGGTAAAAAGCAGTGCTCAGGGGCCTTGAAAAAGTTAAACACAGACAGAGGGTGAACATATACAGAAGTGGCACCCACTAGACACTATGTGGAAAATTAACTATATGACTTGTAGATGGGGACAGGATGGCAGGGGGTGGGGACTGGGAAAGAGTGAAGGAAAGGGTGACACTGTCCAAAAAGAAATGTACTCATTACCTGACTTACGTAACTGTAACCCCTCTGTACATTACCTTTATAATAACAATTAAAATTAAAGGTAAACACAGAGCACAGTGTCACCCAGCAATCAAACTTCTGATATATATTCAACCAAATTGAAGACAGGAATGCAAAAAGGATATTTACATATTCACATGCACAAATATCAGCAGCATTATTCAAAGGACCCAACAAACAAGTGTCTATTGATGAATGAAGGGATGGCTGGAAATGTGGAGGAATACTATTCAGCCCTAAAAAAGAAGGGAACTTCTAGTAACTGCTACAGTGTGGATGAACCTTTTCTTGGGAGGGATGGGGGTGCTGGGGTTTGAACTCAGGGCTTCACACTTGCTAGGATGGTGGTCTACCACAAGAGCTACATCTCCAACCCATGGAACTTGAGGGCACTGTACTGAGTGAAATAAGTCAGCCAAATAGGGATAGGTACTGTAGAACGCACTTATAAGAGCTCTCTGGAGCAGCCTGTCTCATTCACAGAGACAGGAAATAGAATGGGAAGAAGGGGTGTAGGGCCTGAAAGATATAAGGAATTGGTTAGTTTCTGCTCCAAAACAGGAGACAGTTCTAGAATTTTTTTCTGGTGGTACTGGAATTTGGTCTAAGGATCTCAGGCTCACCCAGCTTAATTGTTCACAGCTGGTACTCTACCACGTGAGCCATGCCTCCAGCCCAGTATTTTGCTGCTGTTCTAGACTAGAGTCTAGCTACCTTTTCTTCCCCAGACTGCCGCTGAATTGTGATCCTCTGGATACTGGCTTCCTACTCAGCCTCATGGAAACTCTTTTTGTTTTCTTTCTAAATCATTTTCTCTTTTTAATTTTTTCTTTTATTTATTGTTTATGTGATACTGAGGAATTGAACCCAGGGCTTCATGCATGCTAGGCAAGTACTCTACTGCTAAATCACATTCCTAGCTCCTCACTGAAACTCTTAAGTGACACTCTTGAATATGCCAAGGAAGGCAGGGAAGCTGTGGGGGCTGCTGGGATTGGTGGGGGTGGGGGCGGTTGAAAGCTGAAGGAAACATGAGTCCCCAGATGAACCGAAGAGTGGAAAAGAAGGCTCGTGACAAACTCCTGACTGTCAGGGCTTGGATATGAGCAACAGGAACCCAGGGTTGGTGCTGGCTGAATGCTGTGTGCCAGTGGCACAGGAGCTGGTAAGTAGCTTCTTACAAAACCAGGGTGACCCTTACCACACCATCTGGCAACACACTCCTTGGTGCTTTCCCAAAGGAGATGAAAACCTGCACACAGCTTTGATCTGGATGCTTGCAGTGATGTAGAGCAGGTGAATGGAGTCAGCCAGAAAACAGAAGGTATTAGATTCCAAACACCATGAAAAGTCAGGGAGGAAGCCTGACCACACACGGTGCTAAGCAGAAGAGCCAATGTAAGAGTCTGCAAAGGTGGTTGGGCTCACCCTTGTAATCCTAGCTGCTCAGGAGACTGAGATCTGAGGATCGTGGTTTGAAGCCAGCCCAGGCAGGAAAGTCTGCAAGACCCTGATGGCCAATTAACCACTAAAAAGCTGAAAGTATAGCTATGGCTCAGATGGTAGAGCACTAGTGTGAATAAAAAAGCTAAAGGACGGGCTGGGAAGGTGGCTCAGTGGTAGAGCGCTTGCCTTGCATGCCAGAGGCCCTGGGTTCGATTCCTCAGCACCACATAAATAGAAAAGGCCAGAAGTGGCGCTGTGTCTCAAGTGGTAGAGCGCTAGCCTTGAGCTGAAGAGCTTAGGAACAATGCCCAGGCCCAGAGTTCAGGCCCCACGATCGACCAAA